AACCAGGCTGCCTAAATTATCTTTTCGTAGCCCATTATGATAATGAGAAAAGGAGGGAGAAGGAACCAACTGAAAACAGAATTTCTTGGAGTGGATTCTGTTTGTTGTGTACACATTGTGGGGTTAATTAAATTGGAAGGGAATATTTGTATAGTGGCAGGAACTGTTAAAGTACCATACAGAGGCTGGTGTACTTTTCTGCAGATTTGACATCTTGTTTCTGTGGAGCACACTGAAATTTACACACAAATACAGCTACTTACATTTATGCAAAAAAAAAAAATAAACTCAAATTATTTGTAATCATGAAATTCCACGTACTGGGATAAGTTGTGATAAAATGCAGCAGAAAAACGGCTTGAATTTCTGAAATCAGGGGTCTGTGACAAGACTAACAAGATAATTACCCTAACATACATAATACTGCGCTTGGCATTGTAGTTGTGCAACAGAAAAATGCACAGTTAGATTATTCAAGATGACTTTTCCAGAAAAGTCTGTGCTATTCTCCGCTAGGGCATTCCCTAGTAAACATTAATTAACACTTTAGGTAGCCCATCACAGATTAGTAAATGGAGTCTTTAATAAATAAGGATTTACAGTGCTACATCCTGTTACTGTGGAGGTATTTTTTCTTAAAAATTAATTAATTTAAATTTTCTTAATTAACTTAAATTTTCTTTAAAAAAATTATTGTAAATTAACTTGATTTATTGAAATCCAGACTGTTTTCTTAGGGAAGAATGTAAAAAAAAATGACAAAGATTTTATATTAAACATGAAACTTCTTGTCCGAGTTTGTCAGTAGCTGAAGTGTGTTTCTTATTGACAGAAGATGCAGCGTTTCAGCTGCTTGTTTGTAATGGACAGTAAAGGCATCTGAAACCAGAACATGAAAAATGTATTTAGTAACTAATTTTTAAAATGAAAAGGCAAGAATAGCACTGTGACATAGGAAGTGTAACATACATTACATCTAAAGCATTTTATTAAAATTAGCTCTTAGTGGTAGGCAAGAATTTTACTTTTTCATTCAGAAATGGCCATTGGGTGGATGGTACAAAGGCTCTTGGTGTAAAACCAGGCAAAAAGGTATATTTCTTCATATGAATGAAATGCCTTGTGTTAAATCAGTAATGCTTATAAGCCCAAAATAAAATGTAGTTTAGGTAGGAAATGCAGAAATGTGCAGTAACCTGAAATAAATTATCCCAACTAAGGTATAGTGCTGGCTAGTATGGTAGACTATTCAGAAAGGATTTTTTTAGCCATGTTTAACTATTTTTTTTACTAAGATGCTTGAAAAGTATCTCTTCTTTTTTTTCTGGTAAGGTAAAATTGAAGGAACTAAGTAAAATGACAACAATGTAAGCACATTCCTTGAAAAGAAGAAACTTGAGTGTCAGTGCTTTTCTGCTCCCAGAAGGAATGTTATTGTAGTAACACATTCCATAGAAAGTTTGATGCATTTTAATGAGTAAGGTATTTATCCTTCTTTTACTGTGGCATAGATCCTTTTCCATACTTCTCACTTTATGAACTTCTGGCATCCATCTGTTATGGTTCCAGTTCATAGTTGTTGTCAGATTGTTTGGACAAACTGTCAGAGATTTTCTAAGTTAATGACATTTATCACTGGTTCTCCTGGGAAATGAACGTTTGTTGACCATGACTCTTCTGACATTACAAAGGCAATTATTTTCAGCAGTATGGTAGCTCTTGTGATAACAGCTCTTAGCATCACAGGGCTACAGTTGCATCTTTCCACTACTCCTGCTGTAAATAATTGAATGAAAAGTCTGAAAGGAGATGAGTGGCTCCCTCAGACAGGAAATCACACAGAGGATTAATGTTCTGGTTCTGGCAGGCAGATAAGCATTTTAGATAAGTTTTCCTTTAGGTAGGAACAATGTTGTAGTGGGGAAAACAAACAGGGAAGTAGTAATGGTGACACAAATGGTAGTGTTGAAAGTCAGAACATTAGACTTCAGAAATTACTCTTTTGGGCACATGGCCTGCTAGCTAACATGAAGCTCATTAGCCATTGTATAAGGGAGAAAAATTATAAGCTATTCTGCACTTTTGTTGAATGAAATTAATGAACTTTCTTCAGCAGATTTGTATATCATATTCTTTTTTTTTCTCCTCTAATTTGTTCGAAATAATCTAGATTTTATCTGAAAACTAATTTAAGCCTGGTGATAAGCGTTCCTCTGCTTGTTAAAATTTCCTATCTGTAAGGGAAAGATAATAAGAAATTAAAAGTTTCAAGGAGGGGAAAGTTCTTCCTCTTTATCTTTAAACCTTCCTTTGATTACTGTCTGCTCTGTTTCCAGTCTCACTTCTGATGTTAAGTTCAAGCAGTCTTTTCTGACTGTCCCTCCTAAAGCTATAAGCCATGTTTCCAGCCCTCCTGTGGCATCTTCCCCATAATTCTGTATATTGTGTACCTCTGAGATTTAAAACCTGACATAAGGGAATAAAAGGACCAGAAAAAAACATGGCCTAGTGCAAATGATATACATTTCTGGCTTGAGCAACAGCTTGTAGAAAATCTTGCCTCCAGAAGTGAAGCAGTAAAGACCAGTTATCTAAGTCTAGCACTGTCTCCTAAATCACCTCAACAGAGGCAACTGCAGTGGCCAGTGAGTCAGCAGTGCAGTCCTTCACAGGTTGTTTCAATCAGTAGAAACTAGAATTTCACAGAAATTAGGGAGTGTGGTTTATGTGCACAGATGAAACAGTATCTGCTTCTGCCCTGGGAATTTTCCATCACACCCTCTCTGTTCAGATACATTTTGTTTATCTGGATGACTTGACTATACTTTATACACCAGTGTATTTTCTAAACAAAGCTGGGAGCATACAGATGTATTTTTCTTATAAAGCTGGGTTTTGGGGAGATAAGAATACCTGAACATCTGCCATATTATGTTGCTAGTTATAAGGACATAAACCAAGAGAAGGTCACAGTAACTAATGGCACAGCCCCAAGGTTTATCTGTATGAAAGAGACATTAATTTAGTGGAGTTTAAAGAGGAGTAATTATATCCCCTCTCTCATGGCAGACTCTTCACCCCATGTGCTCTTTTCTGCTTGATTGCATACAAAACATAAAAAGTGAACAACACAGCTAAGTGAGGTGTTTTCTAGAGGTGTCACAGCTTGTTATTTGTTAGTCATCATAATCCAGATTCACTGAGGGGAAGATTTATTTTGGCTGCTCTAGGAGGATGTTGGTGACAGATTTCTGCTTTGTCAAGCTATAGCTATTTCTGTGAAGGTTTCAACATGCAAATAATTCCTATTTCCCTTTTTTAAAGAATGTTTCTGTCCCTGATACAGTGATTCTCTAAGTACACTTTATGATCTAAACACTGGAAATTTGAGAGGTATTCAGTCTCTGTTTATGTGGGTAGACCAAGACAAAAACATCCAAAATCATCAAATTATCTAGATGTTCCATTCAATTACTACATGAAACAAAAGAGGAACAGAAGTCATCTAAAGACCTCCACCTGTGCCTTATGTAATCAAGCTAGCAAGTGATATTCTCTTTTTCTAAACCTTTTACATGGATTGGAAAAAAGCACACTGTTCTGTAAACCAGGCCATTGTATAGATGGAATTATGTGCCATTTGGAGTATGAAGGTGTTGTGCTTCCTACCACCTTTTCCCCTGCAGCAGAAATCTTACTGATTTTGAGCATTTACATTTTTGAAAAGCCATCAAAGAGCAGTAATATTCTGCACATGATTAGTCAATTTCTGTTGGTGCCTACAATTTGCAAATCATTTTCTGAACTCTTTGGATAAAAGAAAACAAGGTTACCCTAGAGCTGAAATTTGTTAAAATGCACTAGAACATTCAGTCAGGATTCACCTTGTTCTTTGTGCACTGAGCTATTAAAAATCAAAAATAAATCCTTTAACTGGTTTGAATGAAGATCAAATATTGCCCACTTTTTTTTCTTTTTTAATAACATTAAAATGACTGTTCTTTAACTCAAGAGAATCTCTTATTTATGGAAATTCTACTAGCTTGAAATTTTCCTATAGTAATTTGAATGTCTGTGAAGTGCTTAATATTGAAGCGCTTCATTCTTGCTTTTCAAATATTTAATATTTTTTTCCTAATGGATAGTTTGGAAATTATTTTACTTTTTAACAATTTCAGATGACAAATGACTGCTTTTAAAGCGCCTGGAGAAAAAAATGGCTTGAATAAATAGTCTTTCTTATTTACTGTCTCTGAAATTTCATATGTACCAGTCTATTAGTGACCAAAAATCCTCAGCAGAGGTGTTACTTTACTGATTAGTGTAAACTGTCTAGGCCCTGTGGTTTCTGCTCTTTCCCTCTTGCCTCATAGTTTCATGTAAAGGCTGAGAATGTATAGATACGCAAGTTTTTCAGAGATACTGAAAGGTTTCCGACATACTGATTTCATGACTTAAAAATGTATTCTTCTCGTGGGTCTTTGCTCTCCAGAGCAAATGATACATTGCAAATGCCAGAATCACCAGAAAAGAACGTGGAAGAATTCTCACTGTGTTAAGAGGTTATTTCAAAGCTTGAAAGAACGAGGAGAATATAAACATCCAAATGAATATCTAGACAAATAATTCATTTAAGGAATCCTAAGCAGTTGGATTTTTACTATTCTCTCTGAAAAGAATCTGTACTTTAGGGACTGTGGAGCGCATGAGGATTTTTTTAAGGTCACAAAGTATTTGCTTATCCACAGATTATATCAAGTATAGGAAAGGGGGAATTGAAGATATTATTAGGACTATAAAATGCAGCAGCTACATGAAAAGGAAACTAAAGTTTCTAACAACATATAGCCTAAACCAATGTAGCTGGTATTTGAGCTGTAGCAAGCCTTCACAAAGAAAATCCTTATATGCAATCAAAGAAAGATATAAAATCTGTTCGATAAATCGAGTAGGCGCTTTCCATCTATCTTCTCCAATACCTTTTCTTTTCCATCCAAAAGCATCGTCATGTGACCAAGAACTTCAGTCAGCCCTGGAGGAAGCAAAACAGCCCCAGAAAGACAATGTGTTCATTCCAGAGTGTGCTCAGGGCGGCCTCTACAAACCAGTGCAGTGCCATCCTTCCACGGGCTACTGCTGGTGTGTTCTGGTGGATACGGGACGTCCCATCCCCGGTACATCAACCAGGTAAGGGAGTACACCTTCAGCTCTCAAAAGCTGTAGTAAGAGCATGCCCTAGTGCCCATGGACTATCATGGAGATTTGTATTGCTGGTGGAATTACATCTTATAGTTTTTTTCCGCTATAAAGTGAAATATTTTGAGACTTCCAAAATTAAGGCCAGATGGCCATGGACTCTGCAATGGCACAGGCAGTTTGCCATCCTAGTCCTCTTCTATGCTCCTATTTTGTGCTGGGAATCTAAGGCTTGGAGCATATCATGGATAATCCCAGAAGAAATCTCACACTCCTTATACTGGATATAAAAGAGCCAAGTAGGATGGTCTATGACAGAAGCCATGTCCAACCTCAGAAATGCTTAGTTATTTTTCCAGCAACCTCCTCAACTATTTAATTTGATAAGCTTCAATGGAACAACTCCTCGGGAACCCATAGAGAGGAAATACCACTTTAGTGTGTTACTAATAGAAGTTTGGAGTTCAGTCATCTCAGCTGAGCTGGATACATGGTGAAATATTGTGAGCCACATAGTGCAGATGTAGGCAAAGAGCATATCAGGTTCCAAAGGATGTTATTTAGGTTGGTTATTGAGGTTTGGCCCTTGTAGAAATGATATAGAAGCTCATATAGAGCTGGCAGGCATTATAGGTATCTTGATGCAATCATAGCTCTTTCATAACTTCTGCAAAATATTTTTTATCATTTGCATAAGGTTTGTGAAAGAAACATGCCTTATAAGCTTAAAATTGTGTATTCTTGGGAAGGACTTTTTCACATATTCTTCAAGTCCTGATTTATTGCTGGCAGTTTATACCATAGTCTAGACTATGCCAGCTACAGTGCCATCTGAAGAGGACTTGCTGATCTTAGAGGTCTTTTCCAACCTTAAGCATTCTTTGATTTTATCACTTAGAGTGATTTTATCATAACAGAGTCACTGTTGGTCAATCAGCTGTTTCTGGCAAGTTGAGGTCCATAAATGGTCAAAATATAATAGTCTAAATTTGATCCTAAAACTGTAGGGTTAGTATATGTATTGTGTGAGTATCTAAAGATGATTTCTAGAAATTCCAGATACTCCCTTTTGTGCTCTTTCTCTGTTCTCCACCCCTAGGTTTTTTTCACTGTTTTTTCTATTTAGTTCTAATCCTTCTTTGAATTATTATCTTAAATAATTTTATTTCCTATTCCCTAATTTGAGTCCAAATCATCTTCTTGTGCTCATCAAAAGCAATGGGGCCTTTGCTGTGGTTTTGTTTTTGTTGGGTTTTGGGTTTTGGTAGGGTCATTTCTGATTCTGTTTTTGTTTTGGTTTGGGTTTTCTTTCTTGTGGGTTTTTTTTTTCTTGTGGGTTTTTGGTTTGTTGGTTTGTTTTTTTTTTTTTTGAAGGGGGTTGTGGTGTTGTTTCTTTTTTATTTTTTTTTTTGTTCTTATTGATATAATTTTATTATAGAGTCTCAGTCAATAGCTGAGATTGGTAGGGACCTCTGGACGTTCTCTGATCCAATCTCCCTACTCAAAGCAATATCATCTAGAGTGGATTGCTCAGGACTATGTCCAGTTTATTCTGAGTATTGCTAAGGATGAGGAATCCATAGCCTCTCTCAGCAGTCTCTAGGTTTTAGTGTTTGATCGCCATCAGAAGTATTTTTGTTAACTTTGCATGAAATTTTCAGTATTTTATTTTGTGCCCATTGCCTTTTTTCCTGCCACTGGATATCAGCAAGAAGATTATAACTTCCCTTTTATTTTCCTGTCTGGATATTTAGAGACAGCATTAAGATCCTCGCTGAGCCTTTACTTCTCCAGATGAACATTGTCAGCACTCTTTCCTTACTATATCAAATCTTTCAGTCCTGTAATCGTATTTGTGGCCCTTTGCTAGACCCACTCCAGTATGTCCATGTCTCTGTTGTTTGGGGAGCTCAGAGCTGGACACAACAATGCAGATAAGTCTCATTCTCCCACTGTGAATGAGAGGGCAAGGATCTACTCCCTTGACCTGATGGCAGTACTTTTTCTAATGCAGCTTGGGAGGCTATTTGCCTTCTTTGCTGGCTTATACTCAGCTTCCATCAGAAATCTCAGGTTCTTGCTTCAAAGTTGCTTTCCAGCTGGTTGGCCGCATGCTGTACTGGTGCAGGGAGTTAATCTTTACCAGAGGCAAGAATTATTCTGCATTTTCTTTTTTTTTTTTTTTTTAACTTCATGTGATTCCTGCCAGCCCATTTCTGCAGCCTGTTGAAGTTCCTCTGAATGGCAGCACAACCATGTATCAGACACTTCCTCCCAGTTTTGTATTATCTGCAAACTTACTAAAGTTATTCCATGTCCCAGCACCCCAGTCATTAAGGAAGAGGTTAAACAGTATTGTCTCTACAAGCTTTGTGGCACTCCACTGGTGACTGGCTTCCAGCTGAAATGTTTCTGCTGATCCCAACTATTTGAAACTGGCTGTTCAGCCAATTGTCAGCACACCTCACTGTTCATTTATCTCCTACACACTTCATCAGTATGTCTATGAGAATGTGATCAGAAACAGTGTCAAAAGCCTTGCTAAAATTAGGATAAATAGTATCTGTCTGTCTCACCTTATCCACTGAGCAAGTTATAGAATCATAGAAAGCTGAGGTGTGGGCCAAGTATGATTTCCACTTCAAAATTCCATCCTGACTACTCTCAATCACCTTCTTCTTTTTCGTATGTTTTGAGATAACTTCTAGGAGGATTTACTTCATCACTCTCTCAGAAACTCAGCCAGGCTCTCTGGCTTATTTGGTTCTTCCTTGCCCTTCTTGAACACAGTAGTGACATCTTTCTTCCAGTCCCCAGGAACCTTCCCCAGTCAGTATGACCTTTCAGATATAATAGAGAGTGGCCCACAAATCAGCCAGCTTCCTCAGCACTTGTGGGTGCATCCTATCGGGTCCTATGGAGTTGTGTAGATCCAATTTGTTCAAACAATCCCTGACCTGATCCTTCATGACCCAGGATAAGTTTTCCTTGCTCTAGACTTTACTACTGCTCTCAAGGACCTGGGATTACAGAACTGGGGAGGAGGTGCCATTAAATACTTCTGCCTTCTCTCTGTCCTTTACCACAAGGTCTCTTATCCCACCCAGCAGCAGGCTCACACTTCCCTTGTCTTCTTTTTGCTTCTGATATGCATGCAAGAAGTTCTTCTTGTTGCCTTCCTGCTCCTTACCAGATTCCTAACCCCATCCCTGCACCCTTGAACAGTCTTTGCTTATTCCTCCTGTATCAGCTAACCATGTATGCTTCCTTTTTAAATGTGAATTTTGTTAGGTGCACTTTGTTCATCTGTGTGGGCTTTCTGCCACATCCTGCATGTCAGGATGAACCATCTATGAAACTGGAGGTGATGATCCTTAAAAATAAATCAGCTTGCTTTCCTGTTCATATGTATTGTGTGCATACAGTATGTGCCATTTTGGCTCCTACTGTCATACAGACTGGGATTCTAGGTCTTCCCAACCCCCTTGATGAATCACTTATGGACCTAGAATCAGTCTCTGTCTCTTTTTTTCACTGTTTGGTCTGCTGGGCTCTTGTTTTTGGCAATTACACAGTCACTCAGCTGTGGGAGAAGAGGCGGCAGGAAGACCTTTCACTGTGCTGCATGTCTCTAAGGTTGGAAAATTGGATTCAATCTTTCCATGCATATGGTTTAGACACAAAAGTGCTCTGCCTGATGACTGATACTAAAAAGCTCAGCTGCTATGTTCTTGACCATTTCTAATTTTTCAGCATTGTTAAACTTAAGGTCAGTCCTCAGTGAAGCTCTGCGGAAGTAAAATTTAGTGATATCCCCAAAGAGGACATTTCTGAGCACAGATGGGTAAGGAGAGCACTCAGTTTTAGGAATTTCATACTAAATAAAGAATGACTGGCGTATTTAGGAATCTACAGTCTTGGTAAACAAGCAGGTGGGATTACTGCCTGGAGTTTAAGAGGAATGTCTAGACCTCATTTCTGAGAAATATTTAGGTGGGCTGGAATCCCATTAATTATTTCTTGGTTTGTTTTTTTTTTTCTGTATTGATAAAACTATTCTTTTTTTTTCTCAGGCAGAGGGAACTAAAGGGGGATCAGAAAAATGAGGAATATACACTTTTTGTAATTCCTATAAAATGGAAAGGATGAATATGTGAGTCTTTCCTAGTTTAAACAACCAGAGGCTTGTGCAAAATTTGGTGTATTATCTTCCACTTTTCCACTGCAAAATATCAGTCAAAAGATGTTAAAACTCTACCGTAGGGTCTGATAACATTAGAACTCCTGGTAGCAAGATGGATGCATAGCATACTGAAATCTGTGTTCTGCAAATAAGGATCAAATCACTAGGGGACAACACTGAAAGGAGAAACAGATCCAGAAAGTTATTGCCAGAACAGCTCAGCATTTTACTTGCTATTTGTTTTGAATGTATTCATGAGGATAATTTTTTTTTGGTCATATTGTAAGGTTCTGAACACCTCAATAAATGGTCGTCACCTTAAATAGGACCCTAAATTAAGTTATTAACACTCATTTACCTTCTAAAATACTGTCATCTGAAAAAACAACGAATTATTTGTCAGTGAAGGTATTTAAGAAAGAAATAAACTCATTCTAAAGTTAAAATAAAGATAGGTCAATGAAGAACCCCTCTAGGACATTTAAGACAGTAAAACTTACAAGAAATAGGTGAAGTTGTGGAATTAATCTGGATTAAAAGGGGGTAATGCATTTAAAGGTTAAAGACAGCCATTCCCACGAAAGCCTTTCAGTGTGGTCCTCACCGGCTGGCTCCCAAAGCCTCTTGGAAATCACATCATGAACCTCAGCCTTTAGGCGCAGAGGGAACCATGGGACCCATGGGGCTGTGTTCTCACATGTGACTTTTTAGCAAGTAGGATCTTGTGCAGAGTAATCCCCAAACTTGCACAAGATTCTCTAAATTTAAAAGGAACGTAAATCATCTGTTTCATGAAGCTACCCACACTGTAGAATCCCTGTGGAAGCCTTCATCCCCTACTGCTTTGTACTCCTCAGTAAATCTCAGTGCTTCCCAGCAGACTGATCAGAGGTATAAAGCAGTCTTCCTAAGCCCTTGCCAATTCTAGATATACCTTTACTCCTAGGGATTCTTTCCCCTTTTAAATTCAAGAGTGTAATTTGGGATGTCTTTTAACTACACTATTTTTAACCTGACAGTGCTCCATTCTGACATGCTATCCCATTCCCACTCTTTCTCCATGAAAACTGAAGCAAGTCTGTATTCCTTATCAGTTTTTAGCATGGCTGTTCCTGTATGGTAAATTTTAAATGACTTGTTTTCTTTCTTCAGTTGCTATAAAGAGTTAAACGTGGACTTTTCACATCGCAGCATTTTAACACCTATTAGGCTTTTATAGATTTAGTTTGTGTATGATGAACTATGTGTGTATTTAACAAAAATATCAGCCAAAAGGGTAGAAGAGCAGAGGCCAAAAAATAAAATGTAGGCACAGAGCAGCCACAGTAATGGAAGAGAAGGAGGGGAATGCAGAGTCAGGTATCAGATTAATCAGGGGCCAGGCTGTTTGCCAGATACTGCATTAGTGAGTATTGCTCAGAGACTTCCCTTTCACTGTTTCTTGGCTTATTGAAGTGGTCATCCATCAAGTATCTGAATCCAACCCATGTTATCAAAGCACCTTCTATTTCTGCCATTCTTTAGGGTAAAAAAGACTCTAGCTCTCCTATATCCATGAAAATGATACTGTACCTTCTTGCAGCAGCCAAAATTTGATGGGCCAGTACTCAGTTTCATCAGATGATATAGAAATAAATATAGCCCTCAAAGGAAAAATAATATTGCAGTTTTCTATGCTGTCTGGTAATTAAGAGCAAAATATTTAGGCATTGTTTACAGAAGCAGTCTGACCTGAATCCAGGACATTGCCACCATTAAGTGTTTTTAGAAATACTTTGTTCCAAAAAAATTTGTATTAGTATATATTTTAATAAGACATTTTAGTATGCCATTCAGTAAATGTGATTTTGGTGAAGTTGGAGTAGGAGAACTTCAGTTATATAAACTACGAAAGGATCTAGATTCAGTGAACAGTATGTACAGACATGTATGTAGACACAATTCATGTTGGTTTAACTGAGAATTGAAACTTTCTCTGAAATTTAACCTGCTACGTTCTGCAACTTCAATCCACTTTAGGACAATAAAGTAAAAAATTCTCAGAATGGGGCTCTATCGAGTTGAGTGAAAAACCACCTTTCAGTGGTAGTGGGACATGGAGGAAGAGGTGATATTCAGCAGCAGATGTTCCCATGCCTCCTGGTCTTGCATAAAAGATACTGCTAGCAGTGTTGCATAAGTCACTGTTTGCTGGAAGTACAAATAGCACAGTTTCTTGTTACCAGTTAGACTAACAAAGCAACTTTAAGTAAACTCAATAAGCATAGAGGAGCCAGAATATTCCAGCACAAGTCAAGCAGTTCCAGCCCCATTACCTTCCTTCTGGAAATTCTATTACTTTTTCACTCTTGTTCAAAACATTCATGGTTAACCCTTCTTGCTTAAACTATTTATTTCTGGGTTTTCTTTGGAGAAGATACAGTAGCACATTAATTCAGAGCTGCAGCAGTACCTAACTATAGTACCTGCCCTGCTGTAATTTTGAAATTGTTTCTCTGGTGTTTCCCAACATGAATACTCTCTGTGACATTGTTTATGACTTTTTTGTTTTATAGGTTGGAGACAGCAAGCTTCTGTGGGGTTTCTTTGGTATATTTTTTCAAAAGAATTTTTATTTTGAATTAATTTATAGCAATTCTTTAGCTTTCCTCCATTAGAGTGGGCTTTAGAAGAGAGAATATTATTTAGTTTGGTATCAACTCTGGGAGAATAAATATGGTTTCTTTGAGGTAAGTGAAAAATAGACAGATAAGTTTGCATTGCCCTCTGAATGAAAATGCAGGTTTATTTCCTGAATACAAGAAAGCATGAGGACTATAAAATTAGAACTAAATTAATTCTTAATCCAATTAGCCTTGACACTTTTATTCTCCTTCTGTTCTTTAGATATGAACAACCTAAATGTGATAATGGTGCCAGAGCTCACCCAACAAAAACAAAGGATTTGTACAAAGGACGCCAGCTTCAAGGTCAGTGAAACTGATAAATTTAGGTTTATGCATTCCAATGCTTTGTTTATTCACTAGTAAATTCACCAGTTTTATTCAATTTTTCATTAATTTCATTCATGTTATTCAGTTATTCATTTATTCATCAGTTTATTCACCAGTAAATTAGAAACCAATTCCTTACACTATATCAAAACAAGTTATCTTTTAGATATCGCTATATTGATTTGCCACTGACTGAAGTCTTTGACTTTGGAATAGTGTAAGTCAGTATGGGTCTTGGGATCTTGTCAGAGAAAGTAATGTTCATTTTAATCAGTAGTTTCTTGGCAGTCACATTTACTTACTGGAATTATTCTTTGCTGGTGTCATAGCAGGGAAATCACCAAATATATCCAGGATTACTTAACTTCATAATCTTTGTTCTAGCAAAATCCATGGGGAATTGGCCTTCATCTCCAAATCAGTTTAAAAAATGTATCCATCTTACTTTTCTCCAAGAGTATCTTTGTCAGTTTGTCTCACAATAATAGTTCTTTTCGTTATCCCCTGTTGCACGTAAAAACAGCATCTTTTAGAGTTTTCATTTTTTCACGCATTTATAATCATGTGAGAGATGTTACCTATGGATAGTTGAGCTACACATAAGTCAGTAGACTTCCTTAATTTTTGAAATGGCCTTTTAGTATGCTTGAACAACTTGAGGTGTAGCAGGTTGAGTGATATTGCACTGTTATGAGAGAATTGCAAGTCACTGTCACCCATTGTAAAGAACCAAAAAGAAGTAAATAATATTTACAGATCTTTCATGTCATGAAAAATGTTCTACTTTGGTCACCCAAAGAAGCATCCAGACACTAATTCTCAACTAATGCCCATCAGTGCTTAAATGGATAATGAATGCACACACATTAATGCTCTCTGTCATTAATTAAATTTAATTACAAGGTGTAATAAGAAAAAATAATAAGATATAACTCCATGTTATATATATAACTCCATTGTGTTCTATATAGAAGCTAATGAAAATGCCCTGCTTATTGTAGTGGGTGCTGGGCAAAATGTCCTTCAGGAGTCCCTTCCAACCCAAATTATTCTGTGCTATTTTACAACTTGATGGAAACCAATGGCTAACCAAAGTTAGTTAACCCTCAACATCTTAAACAAATTACTTCACGGAACACTTGCATAGTTACAGACTTGGATAGTTATTTTATTTTATGTTATTTGTTTTTGGTTTTTTTTCTGAGTGAAAAGGAAGATATTATAGCAGAGCAGAAGTTGAAGGAACAGGTTTTGTAGAAGTTGAAGGAACAGGTTTTTTAGCTGAAGATATCACTTACTGGTCATTCCTACCTTTTGCTAAATATTTTTCAAAGCATTTTCTAGATGGAATCTTAGAGGGGGAATGGCAGGTGAAAGTTTTTGAGATGTCGTGTGTCTATTTTTATCTAAACTGCTAGTGCTTTCATAAAGTACAGTAATAAAGATTCATCCAAAATCAAAATAATTTTCCAGTGAAATAGCTAACAAGAATTTTTCAATGATGAAAGCTCCTCTCACTTGATAAATTAATTTTCACTAAGTTAGGCAATGGTATATTGATTTTCTTTTTTTTTTTTTTTTTTTTTACATTATGATATTTTGCATTATGTGTGCTTTAGTCCTAAAAACCACTACAGCTCTGCAAGCCTATAATTATCATAATTGATATGTACGACATGGATTTGCTCTCTCTCGTTAGGTTGCTTAATCTTTGACTTCCAAATGCCTTGTGTTATTTTAAAATAAGGCAAATACCAAAAATTCTTAAATGCTTATAGGTTAACTAGAAGAATCCCTTCTATTCTGCAGCAGCATGGAATAAGTACATGCCTGTTAAAATAGTTGGGGGAAGAGGCAACTTCCCAGCTACAGTTGTGTTAAGATGTTTATTTTTTTCTTTCTCTTTAAGGCTAAATGCATAAGTCTTAAGACAGCAAATTTGTTTCTTCTCATGAAACACTACATCAAGTGAAATGAATTGAATTTACTTTAGATGAGTTTTTGGAAAAGAGGTTGAAAGATGTTAACAAGTAACACAAAGTTGTGCAAATAGCTAATATGAATCAACTTTTTAATAGCAATGAATCAGTGTTACTCAGTTTTTCTATTGTAAGCAGCCTTGCAAAGGCATGTTTGCATCTGTGTTGTCTAAATTTAAATATGCCATATAATTGCTGAGTGGTGCCAGGACTGAATAAAGAAATAAAAAAAACAGGTTAATTGGATTCTTACTTTTAAGGAATAATATATTTCTTAAAGGATGGGTTTACTTGATTTACTGATTATAGCCACAAAAATTCAGTGGCCCTGGGTGAAACCACTGCGACTGCGTGCCATGTAAAACCAGGAAGATTTTAAAATTAATTACTTTACTCCTATGAATGATCTTAAATGGGATAAACCCTGCTGGTAGATCCTCAAGTGGATTAAATTGGCATGGTTCTGCAGCTGCACTGATTTATACCACCCAGAAATTTGAACCCATTTTATGTTAAGCCAAATATTTTTAGCAATAATTTGCAAATAAATCAAGAAGCAGCTTTTGGCAAGCACTGATACCTTGTTAAGGCAAAACTGTGGAAGGTAGGTGTCCTTTGGAGTCTACAGCAAAATCCCCACTAGTTTAAACCTAGCTAAGACTATGTCTTCACATCCTATGGTAATACAAAGCATCTGAAATGGAAGGGTGGTCTAATGTTTGTAGGGATGATCCAAGCCACCTGTATCTCTTAGTTTAGGCTGGAAACTATATAATAATAATAGTAATAATAATAATAATAATAATAATAATAATAATTCCCATTAGACTTCTAGTCTTTTTTTTAAAGCCAAAGCATTTTTCTGAGGTTACTTGTGGTTATGATCCTTCTCAGAAACTTGTTATTTTGAGATAATGAAATTGAACTCAAGGAGGAGCATAGAGAATGTGGCAAACTGTGGAAACAAAAGGGTTTTTTGGTTTTCTCACAGTCAGAGTTTTCAAACATTTGTATTTTGACCTTTCGTTCTCCTCTGTGTTGTACAGCAAAATGGAAGTTTTGTGATGAGCTAACATATTCTGTAAAGTCTTGACTGGCTTTTTCCATACTTTGGATTATTAGTGTGTTGAAGAGGAATTCAGTTTTCTACATAAGCTGATCAAGAGCGTTTAAAAGGGTTTATCATGAAGGCTAGTTAAGCTAAACATACGGTATGATGAAATGAGGTGTAGGTACCCCTGTATTTTCCTAAAATCATGAGTCAAATTCAGCCAAGCTTAAGAATTATCAGTTCCTAAGACTGTAATTTTTCAGGCTGAGTCTGTGGGTGAAGGTATTTCAAATAATTTATGTATTCCATACATTTTATTATCAGTAAAATATTTTTAACACATATCTGCAGTAGGTGTATATTTATTTATAAACCGTATAAATTTACTACCATAATAATAAATTAAGTATGTTGTAAAACATGCAAATATAGAAATTGAAAAAGGATTAAATAGAGCTGAAATGACCTCAATTTAATTTTTTAAATTTCATCTGTTAATAGCACAAACAATATTTTATTTCTGCACTCCAGCTGATTGTCATGTGCCTCACCTGGAGTACATGCACCCTGCCTTGGATACAATGGATAAGCTTCCTGTTCATAAAGTTAGTCTTGCCTCTTCTCTAAGCAACCTGGAAAAAAAAGGACCTTGGTCTGTAGGAGAGCAAGACATGAGACACTGCCAGACTACTCAGAAAATTTGTCTCCTGGGCAAATCTTTTTCTTATTTAAAAAATATGCATTGAAAGCAAGAAGTTTTTGTTTTAGGCTCTGCTGTGTGCGAGGGCTGGATAAACTTTGGATAGTACTTTTTATGAGTTAAGATTTTTGTATTCTTACCTGACTTGGGAATTTATCTGTTTTTCCTGTAATATGATTTTCATTACCTGACCTGAAATTTGAAAAGCAAATGGAAAAAATTTTAAAGTATTCTGGGAAATGTAATTTTGCTCACGTAATATTTTTAATTAGCAGTACCCTTATCTTTTGTGCAGAAAAAAACTAACAAAACCAAGCAAATGAGTAAATGTCACACGAGTTTCAGCAAGGGACACAATGTCCTGCTGGATTTTCAGACTTTACTGGGTTGCTATTTGTCAATTTAAGTCAGACCACTAACTTTCTTTACATTGTATTTTGGTTTTTCTAAGTTTCTCCTTTTCTTTAATGAAGTGTGGGTTTTTTTGAAATTCCTACAGTTGTGATAGTTCCTTTCAGACAAAAGGATAATTTGAGAGGGGAAAGTATAGTTTGGAAATGACAGTGTCTCTAACAGTAATACAGTCTACTGACTTGGGTCAATGTGCAGATGTAGTAAATCAATCTACTAAAAGTCTTGAAAGTCTCCCTTTTTTATTTTCTCTAAATAGCATAGCTCTTCACTGTTGAATATTTTGTTTTCCTGAGATGCTGATCTCAGTTTACCTTGCTGGAATCCAGTAGAATACATCCATTACATTCGAGTTACCATAGGTTTTTACTGGTGGTGTGAGATCAGCACTTCACTCCTCTTTCTGTCCTTACTGACAATCCTTCAGTTGATTATCATTAAATTTTTTAATTCTAGACCATTTATCATAAAAAGGTGAGTATTTCAGGGTTTTGAGAGAAGCGTCTGAAAGGTTACAATTTTTATTGTCCGGGATCTATTTGGTGGCGCAAGAAGGATCCACGTTAGTTTTGCACAACCTCTGGGAGACAGATTTTAAATTCTCTGTGCCCCCTTTTCACCACAACCCAAATTCAAAACTCGGTGCTTTCCATCCAGGGCCTAAGCTCTGCTAATCACTTTGGTGGTATTCTGATGGTCTACATTTTAATTCAAACTTGGAACTTTATTACTCAATTGAAATACCTTGACAAAGGTCCCTTGTATGCTTAATCAACTTAATAACAAAAAAAAGAGTCATTTACAACTCTTCCTGAAGTATGAACTACAGGTTGTT